AAGAATACCATATTTACTATCTACATGTTAAAGCAGTAATGTAGCTAAGGGGAGGGGTGACTGGGGTGCTGAGTTGGAGTGGGGCACAAAAATATCAGCTGCTGTGCTGCCAACTCAGCTTCTGTTGCCACCAGCAGCAGCCCAGCCACTGATACTGTCCCATGCACTGTCACCACCCAAAGTGACATGCCCAGTTATGCCTCTGTGGTAAACTGACCTTCTCCAGTAGCAGCACCTTCAAGCATGCCACATTGATTCAGTTGCCTCCCAACCCAGATGCACAGGGGAGTCCACAGAGGCCTTCAGGTGGGCTGGTTGGCTTTCATTCTAGTGCCAATTAGTCATCCCAACATAGCTATACTGCTTCTGGTGAAGGAGACAGTTGGCAGGAAGTCTCATGAAGAACATGCTTGAAGGCACTAGTGCCAGGCATGATATGGAGTTGTTTATACTGACTCTGTGCCATTCCCTAAAAAAAAAAAAAAAATCACATCAAGATGTGCTCCTCACCTACTGCCCCAACTCTGCATGCATCACATCCTAGAAATGAAGTGATCTGGCTTCCCTGAGCACACTCCCACAAGCACATCTAGGGCAGAAGGCATGCACTAAGTGCTGCATTTAAGAAGGCACACTGCCTCATTTCCAGAGGGCATCATGTGAGGAGGAGAAATGAAGAGGCAGCAAGTGTTTCAGCCGGTTACATAGAAGACTAGACCAGTTCTTAGCGATGCAGTGGTTTGGTTGTACCCTGATGCTTTGGTTCTTGCTCCATCCAAAGCCCACAGCCTTACATGCCTAACTTCCACTGACATTACTGAATGCCACTGAGTAGTTCAGCCCACACACTCTACTTGTACACAACACAGGTTCCACAGGGACACCAACAGTGCAGGTGAACCATGAAATGTTTCATGTTTTCTGCTTGGTCAGTGTTTCACCCCTTTCAAAAGACTGCTGAGAGGAGTTGGCAATAACTTTTCTGCTGGCTTGGGGCTGGCTAAGGCACAAAACTGGATCTTGAAGGACTTGTGTTATTATCCTTAATGACCTGTCCGTGGTAGAACTGAGAACTGTTTCAGAAGTCTTGAGAGACAATAGGACTCTTTTCATAGACTTCAGTGGGCTCTGGATCAGGTCCTTAGGGACTCATTCATTTCTCAGGAAGTTCAACAGGAAGGCTCTCACTAAGTTCAGCCAAATTTGGAGCAGGCCTCCCTCCAACCATACTATGCCTCATTTCCCTTCTTCTCCATCAATAAAAAGGGGAAGAGACTATTTATAAAATCTTACAAGGACAACATGAAAATTTAGTTCCAAGATGCTTATAAAGTGCTTCAGATCTTTGGATACAAGTGCCTGCACAGCACCAATTTACTTCAAAGAAGGTTCTTGTACTGAACACCAAGATGGTATCTGGAGGATATACTATTGTGTCATATATCCACTAGCACTTTGAATGAGCAGCTCACTGGCCTCTGAACAGCCACCAGATAGCAATGACTCCATTCACTACTGAACTGTTCTGGATTCCTACTGAACAGCAGAGCTGAAACACTCTGCACCTTATTACCACTAGCCCAAAGCCTGCAGTCTTCCTAAATACATATTTCTAATTTGGATTCTAATATTCTTCTGATTTATTCAGCAAACTGGATTGTGTTATTTTTATTCTCTCGGTGCATTTACCAGGGGGGGAGTTATCAGGCTGTTATCAAATTGCACATAAAGATAGGATATTAGATCAATGTTTGCAGGATCCATCAGACATAATTCAGAAAGAATTCTGTAGCAATACTTGAGAGAGATAATCTTAATGAAAAAATTCAACAAAGATCATATACTATACAGTCTACACCAAAATATACTACAAATGACATAACATTTCTAAAGAAAAATAACAAATTATATGAAAGAGTAAAACCTACGGCACTGGTTCTTAGCCTTTTAGGCAGCTTTTACCAGTTCATCAAGCTAAAAGCTTGGCTCCACCAGCTAGCACTCAGATTTAAACTTACAATTGTACTGATATCAATTGGAGTTTTGAATGCATAGCAAATCCAGCAATCAGGCCCAAAGCACATGGTCAGATAAATCCACCCTCTTACTTTTTTATGTAATTTTCTTGATGCATGTATTAAATTTTAAAAAGTAAAGATGTGAATTGTTAGCTTTAGACTGAAACCTCTGGAAGTAGGAGTATTAACTGAACAGATGAAGGAAGAGAAGCAACTGTGTAAACTATCCCCTCCCATCCACACAGTGGGTGAGGCAAAGAGGTAAGTTACTACAGTGACCCTTTCCTGGGTTATTCAGTAGATGAAGGCTGAACCAGTAACACAACCACGATGGCATTAAGCTGAGTATGGGTGGATTAAAAAAAGCTGGCTTTCCTGCATAGGGGTGCTACAAGAAGCTGAAGCGAATCTTCCTCCAGCCCCAACTGTTCATTTCTGCATGTTGAGGATGGAGAGTAGTGGAAGTCAGCTACGTTGGGGGTGGGGAGGAGGGACAGGGTAGTTACAGTTCGGCCCCCACTTGCCCCATGGTCAGGGGCCAAGACAGGTTGGGGGGGAATTGTTTGGGAGAGGTTCTGAGGGAAAGGCCACAGAGGACTAAATGAGGGGGTGCAGAGTCACAGGCACCAAGGGGCTTTTGGGGGGAAAAGGGAGCCTGTTGAGTAAAGGATGTGGGGTGTTATGGATTGAGGACTGTGAGGGACAGACAGACTTTGGGGCTAAGGGGTATGATGGGGGCTGGGGCAAGATTGTTGGCAAGGACAGCCCAAGTGTGTCAGGGACTACGCTGAGGGTTGGGTGCTCAGAAGGGCAGAGGAGGACTCAGTGGGGCATCAAGGGAATGGTGAGGGGTCAGAGGAGGTAGGTCATTATGGGGGCAGGTTTGTGCAGGGTGCAGTGGATTCATGGGGCAGTGATGGGGCAAGGTTGGAAGGGGTGTCAGGGATGGTGGGGGGCAAGATTGGCAGGGGGTGACAAGGATGGTGGGTTCTGATGGGGTGGAGCTGAGCATGGAGGATGTGTGGCATAACAGGGAACAGAGTGGAGTCAGGGGGCATTTGAAGTGGAAGGGGCAATGCATAAAAGGGTAGCACAGGGCACTTTGGGGCTATGGTGAGGTATCTGGGAGACCCACATATTGGGGTCCAGGAAGCAGTTCTGTTTGTGGCCAAGCTGGGAGGGGGCAACAACTGTACTCCCCTGGCACTAGGTGCCTGCTCCACCCTGGAGTTCCTGTTAGTGCCCTGCCCCCAACTCAATTGTACTTGTTTTTGCTTAGATCTTCAACAGAAGAATACAGCCCAAGGCCCCTAGTATTAGGGCTGTGCGAAATGGCACCATCCTGTTTCGCCTTGAGGTTTTGACCGAACAGTGTTTCGTATCGAATTTCATTTAGATTAAAAAACAGCTGTTCCGTTTTGCTTCGTTGAAATGGTAAGGCTGTTTCAACTGTATTTCAATGTTTCACTAGATCAGTCGGGGCAGGAGAGTCAGCCCAGTCCCATCCCCAGCGCTATGGTCGAAACATTTAGATTTTTGAAACATTTTGACTAGCCTCATTCTGTTTTGAGGCTGTTTCAACACCCTTTGTTTCATTTCGATTGTGTTGTTTCAACCTAAAAATGAGTCGAAACAATGTCGAAATGAAATGGCCGAGAAAATTTCGCACAACCCTACCTAGCATATTAGTAAAGCTTCTAATAAATTGGAGACAAACATGCATTGTGTTATATGATGATGAACTGTACCACCTGCACCACCACCCCGCTTTCAAAATCCTACATCCATTAAATGGGTTGGCCAGTACCATTCTCATCACCCTACCGATCATGAACTTGGAAAGTGTTTTAGGTTCAGTAGCAGGGATGGCAATAGTATGCAGAACTCCTGACTGCCTGTCTAATGCCTTATTTGCTGGGCTACGTAGGCTGCCATTCTGCCAAAGTGTCCTAGTTCTGACTGCCTGAGTCTCATTTTTATTTCCTTAAAGAGAGAGAGCAATCTAGTTGTGAAATATGTTCAGAGTACTTGATGCATTGTTCTGGCACAGATTCAAGAACAGGTTAGATTGGATGGCAGAGGAAATTAAGACAGCAACCACTGCAAACTGCATAAAGACAGACAGTTTTTCTTGCCTTATTACTGATATCTAGGACTTTAAATTGCCGGTAATACAGATATTGCAGCAGTGTAATACCTTATGTTCATAGAAGAATAGGTTCATGGCCTAAATACTTCTGTTTTATCATTACTTCTACCAACTTATCGTACGTGCAGAAATTTCAGCCACAAAGAAAGTAAAAGCAAAAAAAAAAAAAGTCACAGGAATAAGTAATTCAAATCTAGGATGAAAGATAATATTAGAGTGGTTTAGTGAAAGGAACCCGTTTTTAAACTACTTCTTGTCACAACCCAAAGTTGTGAGTTTTTGTTTGTGTGTGCTTCGGCACTGCTAAATTATGTTCCCGCTAAATTGCAGCTTCTTTGCATGGTGGAGTTTTCTGCTGTAAAGGAGAACCCCGGTGCAAGGGAGAATTTTCCCGCCAATTTGTAGCTTTCTTTGCATGGTGCATTTCTTTTGCATCTCAGAAATGCACGGTGCAAAGGAGTTCCCGCCATTTGTATTTTAATTCGAGCCCCATTATTGGCTTGTGTTAAATTATGCACACGTGGCGGCTAGCAATTGGCTTGCTAGCCATATAAAGAGCTTGGGTGGTTTCCGCCCAAGTTGGAGAGAGAGCAATTGGAGTTCGAGAGGGAGAGCGTGAAGATCTCTAAGTGCTGCGGATCCCTACGGACCCAACGCATTTCTTAAGGCAACAGAGGTCTAAACAGCCTCTGGCCTCTCCCCGTCGCCGAGCGCAATCCTAGACGTATCCCTATCCTATATACTCAACTGCCGAACCCACGGAGCTTTAACAACTCCGGGGCCAGAGAGCCGAACCAAACCCACGGAGCTTCGACAACTCCATGGGAAAGAAATTGCCGAACCCGCGGAGCCTTAACAACTCTGGGGCCCAAGAACCGAATTTGTCGTAGTCCTCCAATGAGGATTTAAGTGGAGCTGAACCTGGAAACTGTCCAGCCTACACCGCGACCATCTTGGGTGTAAGTAAATAATCTTTGAATCAACTACGCCTCTGTGACTAATTCTAGCCCGTGCGTGCCTTGCCGCCGCACAGTCTCCTCTGACCCCGTGTGCCCGGGGTGCTGGCCACAGCCCGCATGCGCAAAGACGGGTCTGCATATCGCTCCCGGCCCGCACATGGCGACATGGATGGGATCGGGAAGCGGCCCGCACACTTCTATGTCAAAAAGTTTCAGTGCCTCGATTTTTCATCACGAGAGAAACAAGACATATCTTTTAAAAAGGAACAGACAGAATGTTTTCAAGACCTTGAATAGGGTGGCAGTATTTGTCTAAAACATCATCCCTGGTAACTGCTAATAG